AAGCTCTTTCACCAAAGCAATGTATGTATATTGATCTTCCCGGAAATCAAGTTCTTGTATTTAAATAATTATGCACTTGTATGGCAAGCAAATCTCTTGTAACACATGCCCGGCTGAGCTCTCGAGGCAGGAGACCGTGTCGGGGTGGGTGTTCCCAACGTTGGGCGTTCAACATTCAGGAAGCACCTTTGGACCGCTCTGGATGATGGAGATAATGCCGTCCTTCCTTATTTTTTAGGGGCAATAAACAAATGTTTTTTTTTGTAAAAAGAAAGGCAACTTAAGCTGAAATTAGTCAAGAACGTAAACCTACCGGTACGTAAACCCGAGTCAGCTTACACGATCTGTCTTACCAAACCGCCATGTAAATGAAAACTCAACACCGCAGAATTTTTCTGTAGTTGTAGCCCGTAGCGCAGAAATCTGCGGAATTTAGATTTTTCCGTGTCAGCTGATTTCTCCTTCTTTAGATGGTTGCCACTTCATCAGTTTTACAGATGGTAAAAAAGATATAAGTTCCTACTCAAAATATGTTTAAAATATTTGAAATTTACTATTGAATAAGGTTTTTGTTGAAAACTAAATAGTTTATATTTAGCTAAAATCTATTATAGCACGAAAAATTGTAGTTGAAAGGGTAAGTTTATGAAAAGGCATTGATGAGTGGCAACAGTGTAGTAAGCAACACTGAGGGCTCCAGTAATCGACAAAATTCTGCGTATACAGACTGCGTTTAAGTATACGTTCTGCGTTCTCGACTAATTTCAGCTTTAACGTGTTCTATGTTCTATGCCTAATATTTACCAATTAATCCTAGGCTTCGTCGTTTTGTGTGTAAATGTCACACAAAACAGAATGAATAAGAAAAATTACCCAATGGGAAATTATAAAAGCTTTTAATGAAGGGGGTTGCCAGTGCGGAGTCGAGGTATGGTGAATAGAGTATCTCGCCTGGAAAGGGATAGAAGTAGGGTGAGCGCAATTGTGATTGGCTAAAGAA